TGGACATCACCAAAGTCCTTGCAGACAGTGAGTGAAGGTAACAGGGTTAAGGCTGCCTCTGCTGTGTCTCTCCCGCATCCGATCCTGTGAACATGTGGCTGTGGAGTAGGGCACATTGGGAAGCACAGAAGGAGTCTTCAAGGCATCAGGTATGTGTTTCAGTCACAGTGAAGCCACATCACTTTTCAAGACCCAGGAGAAACGCATGGAGAAGAGGTTTGCCTGAAGGACTTAAAAATTCTTACAACACTGGTATTTGCTAGGCTGCCCTCTCACCTTGAGCACACCCACAGAAACGTGTGGCTCAGCTGGAGTGAACCACGTTGATCTCTGTTCACATGGAGTGACACACCAAACACAAGCCACCTTTTGGGCAGTAACCTGCATCTTTTGGAGTCACACTGGCTGAGGAGGTCTTTAGGCACAAGTTCTCCAACCAGGCATGTGGAGGGAGACGGGATGGCATTTGCTACCATGGCTCCTGCCCACTCTTGATGCTTAAAATCCTTGGGCTTTTTTTGTGGGTAAAAATATGGGTCCCTTCCTAGTAAACAGTGATGACTTGCACTACCTCCCGCACAATAAGAGCAGATGATGTTAATGTTTCAAAAACTTTATATTCTGTAAATGGTATTCCTGTTTCTAACAAGTTAGATTGGAACAGCGGGATTCTTATCACATTTTAGGGGTGCCTGTTAGGGATAAGGAGTAGCTGAGTCCTGACAGTGAGAAGGCCTTTTTTCCCCCAATTCCAAACCATGGTACACAAAAATTTATCTTAATATATGCAGCACAGTGTACTTTAGAGCCTGGGGGTTTTAAGGCAAATTTGTTGAAGATCATAAACTAGGAAAATTGGGGGCACCCTCCATTGGCTCTTTATTGTGAATTGCTTCAAATAGGATGGCAAAAAACCCCACAACCCTCTAAGTGACTGGCAAACACTGCGTTCAGATACAGAGAACTGGATGTTTTAAACAACTTTCTGCATTTTATTGGCTACTGCAACCTACTCCCAACACCACAGTTACTTTCCTGCAAGCACGTTCCTGTAGTGGGTGGAATGGAAAAAACTTAGTCCATTTACTATCAGTTTAAGCACTTGAAAACAGTCTCTAATTAAATCTCTAATGAAGTCTCTCCCTGCCTGTCCCATCTGAGTGTGCGTGTTAGCTCACTTCCAACTCCTGCAGGATGCTACCGAGAGCAATGCTGGCGTCTGGCAGCTGGCTTGTCCTGTTACTGCCGTATCTGCTGCTTGTACTGCAACCCCATCGGCTGTTCCAGAAATATATGTTGTTTTAATAGTTCCTGGTCACTCACAAATGCTCTCTGGATTCTGATTTTGTAAATGTGCCAGGAAAAGGCAACATTTTCCTGCAAGCGAAGAGCCTCAGAAACTGATTGTAGTTGGGAGTGTGACCTGTGACACAGAGCAGAACAAGTCTCTTGGGGCTAGTGAGTTTATCCAAACCCAGTAATAGTTTGAGCAACTTTATTAATGGTAACATTGAACATCTCATTTAAAGGCTTTGCTGGCAATTAGCTAGACCAAAGAAAGGGACAGGGAGTGGATGCACACATAAACCCATTTTCTGTAAAATAAATACATAAATGACCTCAACTGCAGAGAAGAGATTATCTGCTGTGGCTCATGTATGCAATCTGTCTCTTGCGAGTCAAGAAACTGGTGTTTAGCTTGGAGTCCAGTTCCAAATTCTTCACCATAAACACTGGGCAAGCACTCATCAAGCTTCCTGAAGGGACAGACCTCACTAATCCACACGCTCCATAGCTCATTCAGAGCAGCAAACGTGGAGCTGGAGAGAGCAAGAGGAACGCTGAGTGGATCTGGATAAAAATGCTTAAGTGAGTCAGGTGCCTACCACCCACTGATTTTCTCCGCACTTAGCAGATGTCTACATCACACATGAAATTTGAGGTCTGCAAGTATACTTGTAAATTTTGTACGCGCGAAGTAACGAAGAAGGCGAACTAAGACTAAACAAGTTATCAAAATAAAGAATGCAGTTACATTTTACCATAAATGTCTTTATTTTTGTTATTGGAGTTGTGTACTTCTTCATAAAAGGTATCAATATAGCAAAACACTTGAACATGAGTCGAAGTCATTGAAGCTAGCAGGATTACTTGCGCAGTGAGAATTAACCACACATGTGAATGACACAGATTAGGTGCTACTGCATACAGTCAATTCATTTGTGATAGGTTTCCCAAGAACTCTAAAACAGTCTAAAATAGGCAAGACCACTGTGTTTTCATCGTAAGTTGGCACATTTGGACCATAAACACTTTTGACACTCTTTGCCTGGGGTCGTGGTGAACACCATGGGCTTCAGAGGAGCTGACGTCGTGAGAGATCTGCTCCTCTGAGGAAATACAGCTGTGGAAACTAGACCCACGCTTTTCTGCAATGAATAGAGCAGCAAATTTTCAGATTTTAGCCTTACAGTAACAGCTTCTAGGAGGAAGGTAGCAACTGAATCAATATGGTTTTGATAATCTTAGAGAAAATTCGTTTAAGAAAATTGTAAGGCATTATCCTGCAGTAGATCTGGTCAGCGATGACCAGATCTAATCTCAGTTTAGGTCTTAATGCAGCCAGTTGGATTTATTATAATGGATTAACATTTGTATAAAAGGCATACACAAGTCAAGTATTGCTAAATTAATTCCTCATACAAAGTATACGAATAATGCACTGTAAACAACTGCTTCTCGTAAGTGCTTCAGTTTCCAAACTTTAATAGTTGCTTGTCATCTTTGGTTAATGCAAGATTTTTTCTGTCCTCAGGAGATCCACTACTACAGCTGAGTCCTTGCTCCATTACCTGATCCCATATACTTTGAAGAACAAATGCTTTGTTCAATCAGATCAATGTGTAAACCAAAACAACGAAGTGAACTGTATTTTTTATGTTGCTAACATACAAACATGTGCATATATATATGTATATCCACGTATGTGAACACACACCCCCTCACTCTGTCCCAGCGAGCACTTAGGCCAACAGATGCACGCAGCATCTGCCACAAGACCATCCAACAGGAACGAATGCATGACAACATCCAGGGGCTGCTTAAACACACACAGACACATACAGCTATGGATTTCTAAAGTGAGAGTGAGAATTGTTTTGACGATGACTGAATATGATTCTGTAGAAAGAAGGGAAGTCCCACAACTCTCCAGTAAGCGGAATCAGCTGCATGGGCACAGTTACAGTCCGTTCATTTGAACGTGTCTGGTTCCTTCCCATGTTGCTGCAACTGTGGTCCCAACATTTCTGCCTCAAACATCAGCATCTGTTCCGTTATGTGGCAGTGTAATCTGAAAATCCACTGGCCAGTCTCAAAAACCAAACCAGTTTCTGATGCAAAGAAGGTCACTTAAATCCACTGTCTGCAGGTTTGAAAACTAGTCCAAAATATCCAGAAACTGAATTCTATTACAGATTGCTCTAAATATTAGCGAAAGACTCAGGGGGATTTAGAGAGAAGTGGAAGGTGTGTATATAACAGTATAAGAAAAGTTAGGAATTAATCAGTCTTTCTGCATCACAGAGAACGTTCTCCAGTACCATTCTCACTATTATCATATTAAACTGTTAATAAGTCATGTAAGTTAGATACCCAAAGCATCATCTAAATTCATCTGTTTCCAAGGGCAGGACTTCTGCCCGTATTCTGTAGTGTTTCCTTTATTTATAAATGTGTCTATGAACTCCACAGGGAGACAATTTCACAGGTTCATGGCTGGAAAGCTTTTCCTGATTACTCTTGGCTCTGTTCCCCTTACTTACATTATTTTCATTTCCAGCTATCGCCTGTAACAACTGCTGTTATCACAACTGGTGGGATGTTCTTTCTGTTTATTTTTGCTATCTGTAAAGAAGAGGGATCAACTAATGTGAAGAACAGTGTACTTGTCAGCAATGTGCTACAGCAAGGATCTGGTTCTCAACAGTAACATTTCATGCCATTTCATAGGTGCAACCACGGCAGAGCAATAGCTGTTTTCTCATGGTGGACTTATCTGGTTTGTGGCTTGGCAGAAAAGTCCATACTACAGTCTTGGAGCATCAAAACTGGCTTAATTCTTTAAAGTTGCTGAGCAAGCACTGTTCTTGCGGACTTTATTAGGAGATCTAGGCCACCTATCAGCAGTTATATACGGATTCTGCAAACTGTTTTAATCTTTTAATATTGGCACTTTTGACAAGCGTCCTTTACCTTCTCTACAGTCAATTGAAAAATGAAACCCTTGCCCAAGTTCCAGACAAGAGCTCCACATGTATTCCCTCCCTGAGCAGCCACAGTTACCTTATGGTATTTTAATACCCTGTAGAGTTCTGGCAGCACCCTAAACCCCTTCTGAGACTTGGAGAAATGGCACGCATCCATTGGTACTCATCCTGACCTCAGTCCGACCTCTGATTGACCACCAACCCCATCTGACCTGGAGGAGACAACACTAGGGTTGCCCCTGGGCCTTGGGCTGTTCTGGCTGTCATGGACCAGGGTTACATGGACGGATGAGACACGTGGAGGTGGCCAGGACTGTCACAGTATACCAGGATCCATTGCCAGGAGCCATCCACAGGTGTGGTTTATCCAAACCCCAAACCCATCCCTGACAGCTCTCTAGCAGGTGAGTGAGGTGGTAGGAACTCAGGTACACTTGGTAGCCAGTAAATCCAGTATCAGTGCTGTCTAGAGTACAAGCATACAATAAATATTTCCCCCTTTGCCAAGTCCTGCCGAGTCCTGAAGACACAGGATGACTGTACATCACCGCTGAATCAATAAAACTATACTTTGGACCAGCCAGTCTCTCTTTAACTTTCTCTAAAACATCTCAATAGAAAACAAGTAATAATCTATAATAAACAGAAAAAAATAGGACAGACTCTCTCACAAAAAAATTACACGTTCACAAAATAATTACATCATTTTCTTGTTAATCACCGAATCCGTGTTTATAATTTGGTCAGATCATCCTGTAACCAGTCTGTAATCATGGCAGCCATCTCCTTGCTGGCGTCCAGCACAAAGGCGTGGCGGAGCCCTTTCTCACAAAGCCGAATGTCCCCGTCTGGAAAATCCATTTTGATTTCATCGTAGTAATGCTGTGGACACCAGCTGTCTCCAGTTCCATAGTAAAAAATCAGCTAGAAATCAAAGCACAACAAATCATTAATTTGAAAGACTACTGATGAAGCAACCAATATCCAAACAAAGAGCCCTGAATTATTTGGAAATAAGTGATGACACAAGATATACTGCGAGGAACAGCAAATTGGTAGTTCTTGGCTGTTTTCAAATCTGCAATTACAATGAAGACAACTAAAAGCTCAGTTTCCTCATCTGTAAAACTAGGGAACACAACACAGGCTTAACTCTGAAAACAGAGATCTACTGATGAAAGTCTGCTTGTCTTAATAAATTTGTTATTATGGATCAAAACCTCTAGCTGTCCACAGAGTCCACCCCTAGCCAGACAGGCTGCTGTGTCTTCCCTAGCTATTGGCTGTTTCCTGTGTTAGCTTTCTAGCTATTTAATCAATTAGCAAAATTACCAGTAAACTTGATGCTATGTCCCAGCTGAAAGGACTAACCATTATGGCTTTTCTTCTGGATACAAATTAAGAGAAAGTAGGAGGTTACTCTGCATTTGTGAGTAGCTCAGTCTTACTGGCATCTGTTAGGTCTGATCTCAAACCACCTGCCCACTTTCTTGACCTTGGTGTTAGATGTAAACTAGAGGTTACTCACTCAGCCATGCTAGAGTTACAGCAATTATGGTCATTCTCAGGAGAAAAACCTTTTTTTATTTTGGAGAATTTTATGATCACAGAATCTTAGAATGATAAAAACATAGACTAGTTTAGGTTGGAAGGGACCTTTAAAGGTCATCCAGTCCAACCCCTCCTGTCATAAGCAGGGACATCTTTGACTAGACCAGCTTGCTCAGAGCCAGGTCCAACCTGGCCTTGAACGTTTCCAGGGGTGAGGCATCTACCACCTTTCTGGGCAACCTGTGCCAGGGCTTCACCAGTATCACTGTAGAAAATTTCTTCCTTATATCTAGTCTGAATCTCCCCTCTTTCAGTTTAAAACCATCACCCCTTGTCCTATCATAACAGGCCCTACTAAAAAGTTTGTCTCCATCTTTCTTATAAGCCCCCTGTAAGTACTGAAATGCTGCTATAAGGTCTCCCCAGAGCCCTCTCTTCTCCAGGCTGAACAACTCCAGCTCTATCTTAACTTTGTGAAGTGCTGCCCGTGTAGAACACAGGCACCTCCTGGAAATCAATGCGCAATTTTCCTTTGGGTTGTAACATGGAATTAAAATTCCACCAAAGTTAATTTTCTTTTGGTCTTGCCCTTATACCCTTGTTCAATGACACACATAAAGCAGGTGCTACAGGGCTCGCCTAAACACAAAAGTCTTAAATTTCAGGTAAATATGTTTAGTGAAGTTTTTCACTGTTAGAAACACTAAATGTCCCTCTTTCCCAAGTCATCCTCTCCCACCATTTTCATCTCAACTTTGCATTGAGATTTTTCATGTCTTTCAATTTCTATAAAGTATTTGAAGGGAGAGAGGTTGTCTGGGAGAGAATAAAACCTATAGATGTAAAACTATACAGGAATAAGATTAATGGCAAGGACTCTTTTATACTAAAAAGTTTGAATGCAGGTACCAGAAGGATGCTGATTGCTCAACGTATCACACACAGCTTGGCCCAATTTCATTACTCTGATTTGTTTTGTATTTCATTTCTGTACTGCAGTGAATAATTGAGCAACGCTAACATAAATTAGGGGACAAGAAGTTTTCCTTTCATCACAAAAATCTTCAATTCCATCATTTTCATAGCCATGGGGAACAGAAATAAATGCACCCACTGGGGCAGTGGTGGGCTAGGAGTCCAGACTGCGTTTCACAAAATGTTACAAGTTTTCGTCCAACTTGCTTTTCTCTTGTTGAAGTGTACCCAAAATCTGGACATTACTGACTACTGGCTGTATCCAAAATGGAATATCTCAGCTGCATAGACACCAACCCACGTTGTACTTCTATGTATATGTAAAACATAGAACATAAACCATTCCATGTTAACAAATATTATTGGTTTCCTTTGTCACTCACCAATTGCTGCAAACAAGGTATGTTATTTGCTTTAGCAGAAAATTTCTTCTGCTCTTGCCTTCAATTTGTAAATCACAGTATGTCACACTAGCCAAACTTTTTCAAAAAAGCCAACATAAAATGGCCAGCTGCATTCAAGCCTTTTGAAAGCCAAACATCTGACTGAATTATGTTTAACCCTGGGCTCTGTTACCAACAGATACAAAAATAAAGATTACGAAACTCAGAAAAAAAAATGGAGCAACTCCAGTTTAATGGAGTAGTCCTTGAAATTATTAGATATTTTGATAGTTGAGTCATAGATCATCACATGATCGTTTAGAAAATGATGAAAAGACATTTACACGTACAAAGGTGCATAAAATACTTGGCTTAGTCCACATGAACTGAGAAATGGGCTGTTCTCCAGGTAGGGTTGTAAACTTGAGAACTCACAGATTTGGAAATGCCTAAACAAAAGATTTATGTGGATTCTTAGCTTGCCTCTGGTATTTCTGCATTACAGTTTAATCTTTCACCGCATGATCCAAAGGATCCCTGACTCATTCAATCCACTGACAGGATGACATTCGGCTGATGAGCTGCTATTTGATAGTATTTTTCGTTTTAAATTCTGTGTGTGTGGTCTGAGGATTTATTTACCACATATTTCATGGTTTACAGACAGAATTTATTTTCTTATGTGCATTCCTCTGGCATGTACCACTACAGGATGTGCATGCTCACATTTATTAATTTAGTTTTGCATGGTCATTAGTGGCCATTTTTATCTCCATTTCACAGTTGGGCAGCACAAAAATTAATGACAAACTACATACATTTATTTGAAAGTATGCAGTGCAGTCTGAAAGACCTAGAGCTGGTTTTCCAGTGTGCGCAGCACTGCACAGTACTGACTATGCTCAAAGGACAGCACTCCTAGGCCTCATTTGCAGGTGCTGTGAAACACTGTCTATCTGTCTGTAAAACAGATTTCAAGGTCTTAAATGAGATACTTAGAAAAGTGCTGACAAATTGTGAAAAATCTATGAAAAATATTAATGTCTTCACCAACAGCCCACTCTTGGTTGTGAAGTTGACGTGCCTTTACCATGAAGTGATCCAGTTTTACTTCATCTAGTTCCCTGTTTCTTTCAACAGGTATTTTACTGCTTCTGCCACAAATGAGGTAGGAGTTCTGCATCCTGCTGTCTCCTTCATTACACAGCAATTTTGGTTAACGAGAGAGGAAAAAGGAAAAGTGATGTCTTAATGAAAGACCACCTCTAAATGCATACCTAAGAGGCATCTGAATTAAGATTGGTGCTCTTGAACTTTGAAATGCTTGGAATTTCAACTGGCTGTAGCAGAGCTTGTGTATACAGTCTGTTAGACTTCAATGAGCTGAACCAAAAACCAACTATTCTACATGTGGCACCTACATGTATTGGCAACAGTGTTAGCACCTCTAATCTGCTGTGTTAGGCCTCTGTCCCTCAAGGTAACGGTGCAATTGGAAGCAGCAGCACTGTCAGTGTCTGGCCAGAGAAAAACAGTTTTATAACAGGAAGATTTGGGGAACTTCACTTAATTCTGCAGTTATTTTGTCTGCCTATTTCATGTTGGGGTGTGCCCTCTGTGTTTCTATGTGCACATAAAACTAAAACTTAAACATATGTATTTCTTAATTAGAAGCTGCCAACAGAATTCAGAATTGTTTTCAAAATGCTTCCCTATTAATGGATTATGCTATAAAATCTAAAAGCAGGATTGTAATTGAGATGGAAATTTTCAGTGACCCAGATGGTGGTACATGAAACCTGACAGACTTGACCGTCATTTGGGGCACTGAGGGTCTCGCTTTGAGTGACAAAATGTCTATTTTTTTACACAGAATCACAGAATCACAGGAGTTGGAAGGGACCTCGAAAGCTCATCCAGTCCAACCCCCCTGCCAGAGCAGGATCACCCAGACCAGGTCACACAGGAACACATCCAGGTGGGTTTTGAACGTCTCCAGAGAAGGAGACTCCACAACCCCTCTGGGCAGCCTGTTCCAGTGCTCTGTCACCCTCACAGTAAAAAAGTTTTTCCTCATGTTCACATGAAACCTCCTATGCTCCAGCTTGCTATGGAGCATACCCTATGCCACAAACGGCCACAAAATATACAGATATTAGGGTGTTACCTATTTTCCTAATATTAAGGCAGATTCATTTTAGACGTATTTAAACAAAAGTTTAATGCAGAATCCATATGTTCTCATCGCAACATCAGCTTTGCTACTGCAGCATGCAGGAAGCATAATTAGCAAACCATGTGTAACCAGAGGCACATGGGATCTTCATTAATGGTAGGAAACACTGGTGTGCATGATATGATTTGCATGGATCTGTGAAGTACAAATTTTCCTGCGGATGGTGCAGGGCTGTAAAGACATCCTGAGTCAGCACAGCCACTGCATCAGCAATGGCAAACTGCAGCCAACCTCACCATTCAAAAATGGTGACTCAGGCCCCCAAAATAATGAGACTAGCTTAAAAATAGATAGATTTACAAAACAATAAATAGAAGGTTCTTTCTATTTCAAGGTCAGGCTTGATGGGGCTCTGAGCAACCTGATCTGGTAACACTGTTCCTGCTCACTGCAGGGGTTGGACTGGGTGAGCTTTAAAGGTCCCTTCCAACCCAATACATTCTGTGATTCTACGATTTTCCTTCTGCACTTAAACTTTTCAATATCTGCATTTTTTAACTTTTCTGCCATGAGAGCAAGAGGATTTTTTAAATTTTTTTGCAATATTGAATGCTGACACTTCCAGGTATTCCTGACTCAGAAGGGAAATGGCAGCTACCACTGGACATGACAAGGACTTTGTATTATTATCTTCCTTGTTGTGATTGAGTAAAACACATCCTCTTTCAGGATCTGATGATGAGGGCAGAGTAAAGGGGATGTGGGTTACCTTTGCTGGCCATTTCAATACCGTGTTTGAAATAGTTACGCAATTTCTAAGTTTCAAATAGTTTTAAAAT